TTATACAAATTAATCGATTTGTTCAAAATTAACATGAAAAACAATCATTTTTTAACCATACTTGATATATTTTTTTGTTACAATCCTAAAATCTGTTAACATAGAAAATAAGATATTTATTGAAGTTTGACGGGACTTTGTATATTTTATTTTGAATCGTCTGCTGTAAAAAATTATTTTCAGTAGATTAATTATAATGAACCATATCACATAATTTCATGAAACTATCATAAAATATATAACTATTTATTATTACCTACTTAGATACTTAAGTTACAGGCTTACAGCCAATAATTTACTCGGTGGCGTACTTAACTTAAAGCCTGGTGTAATACATACATTTGCATACTTACATATATTTTTATGAAAKGTGATTAGTGGTAAAAAACCTTAACTGTATGTAAAATAATTAAGAGTTTTTAGTTAAATATTTATCAGATAGATTTTCTTACAAAGTAATTGAATAAGTATGATGCAATTTGTTAGAACATTTAATTTCGACGCAGATACGTTGATTAATATATTTTTTTGATTTATTAAATCTTTAAATATCGCTATAAAATGTATCAGTGCATTATAACAATTTATCAGTTGTTTTAAAAAATTGGAAACTTGGGGTTGTTGAAAAAGTGTTATTAGTTAGACAATGATTGATATGCAACAAAAATTTAAAATATGCATTTTATTTATTAAAACATTCAAATATTATGCAAAACGGGKTTTTTTTTATCTCAGTATAATTTTAAATATTTTTTACATAAAATCAGAAAGTGATTGAAATTAATTATTAGTAATTATTTATTATTTGTCATTGCATATTAAATTACATTCTGTTATGAATGTTATGATACATTCTTTCAAATATTGAAATATGAACATTGAACGTCAAGCGATTGGAAATTTGGAATGACATTTTGGTCGTTAACATCCAAGCTCTAGAAATCTAGACTGATATCTATATTTTAAAAATATTTTAGATGAGATTTAAGTCCCAAAATCCACGATAACTTAAACTATCATGCACGTTTGATAGTGCATATAAATCTAATGTGATGATCTATTGTGCCATTGTAACAGTAACTATCATAATATATATTGCATATAAAAAAAAAATATATATATATTARAAATCCTAATAAATAAATGAAAGAATTGTATAAAATATCGTACTAATAATATTATCTTTACTATATATTTACTTATCAATGGGATTATTACAAACTAGATGATTAATTAAATAAATGGTACAATCGAAGCTGTCAGAAAATCCGAATTGTGCCTAAATGCTGTTATAAATCTAAAACGGCATATTATAATCGCAGAATAGTTAAGATAAAAACGTATCTGTGATGACTGATGACCAATGAGTATAATAATGATGAAAAAAAAATTTTAAATAGATTTTAACAGTAATCAATTTAAAAATAAAATATAGAAATGGATAGTACCTACCTAACACTTAATTTATTATTGCTTATTGGATATTGATACATCATTTTATGTCACCTGCTTGAAAAAACTAATGATTAAATATTATAATATCTTATATTAGTATGTCCATTATCAGTTGTTTGTATAATATTGTATATTTGCGGGTGAATAAATATATTTATCGACATTTTGAAAAATTAAAAACCTATGCTAATAATCCCAATAGTCCCTAAAAGTCTAAACTAATCAATGGATACCATATTGAAACATACAACCGGTTGAAGCATATTATTATACATTTTTACACATAAATGGGTGCTATTCCCGATAGATTTTTGAACCAAAATCTAAGACGCTACTATAATTTCGGTAATGGACGATGAATTTTTTGTGGTCTGTAACAATTAACACTGCTCAAAATCACAATTAACTTCAATTCATTGATTTTTATGTTTTTTACGTACCTTTTTTCTCCAGTTTTTATCCGACGACGCCGCGGAAACTGCTTTCGCATTGCTTTTGCGGCGCCGTCATCGTTTACTGATAATACCAATATTTATAGGTACATAAGTGGGAGGTATATGGGACTGCTCGGGGACTTACATATTCATATGTTTTTTTATCTAATTATACATTATAATTATTACGTGCAAATAATGTTAATAATAAAAATCGTGTAACATAATAAATACCTTCAGGTAAAATGTGTTAATCGCTGATTACACCGTTTATGATGTTATTCCAATATTGCTCGACCAGTTTAATAGGTAGGTTTTATCGAGTAGGTAGCCACCTATTATTAATACAATTAAGCAGTACAAWACTAATAATTGATGATCAAAACCAACACCAATAGAAAACTCTGTACAATACAAAAATATCACTGAATAATATTAACCAGTTTGGTGTATTAATATTATTGTTATATAAACTACATTATCATTGTGATGCACGCGTCACTATCGTTGGAACACTGCGGCTAGTCTCGTAAAGAAAAAAGGAGCACACTAAAATATATACAACGGACGGATCGTATGCCACTAAAGAATATAATATATTAACCAGTTTGAATATTATTACACACTTCACCAATCTCAGTTCAGAGGAAAATATAGCGTGTATTATGTAATAATATTAATATTAATTATTGTAAATTATACGTGACCTATAGATGCAWTATATTTTTATTTTTTATCTCTTTACTAGATAAGATAAAGACMCAGGCACGATTAATATTTATTTAAGATGTTCAAACACAAAATTATTAAATTCTAAATTTATACATATCATGATATTCGAATAAAATATAATTAAAATATGATTCAGTTCTTTTCAAATCGACGAAAAAATTATATTTATTTATTTATTTACAATCCGAGAGCCTAACATAATTATAAAGATATGATTAAACCTAAGTGGTTGCTACACATACCCATTTTTATAATTCGTTACATCATTAAAGATTACAAAATTAGTAAATAGGTAATGAGATACAGCTATAATAAAACTAAAAATAAGAAATAAATGAAACTACGTATAAAAAATTAGCATATGTGAAGTATTTTTGTATCCAGAGAAAATATATATTTTTTATTAAATCCAACAAATATTCCATGGACGTATATAACGTATTATATTA